CCCCAAAACCCCAAAACCCCAAAACCCCAAAACCCCGTATTTTAAAAATTTATTTGAAATATAATATTTTTTTGAAAGTTTTGGGAGCATGGCGTCTATGCAGAAGGATATAGAGAGTTATAAGAAGTTGTTGAAGGGCCTGAAAGGAGGTGCTGGAGAGGATTTGTATGGGCATTTGGTTGAGGTGTTTGGACATCTGATGAGGCATTACCCTCAAGAAGCGCTAGATAAGATTGAGGAGGTGTCATACTTATGTAAAAATAAGCAGGAGGTTAATATAGAGGAGTTTTTGAAAATTACTGAGGAGATTAGGTTCAAGACTGGCTCTGAAGCTAATGCTGAGTACTCCTTTAAGGCAGGCAAGCTTTTTGAAGCTCCTGTGCTTGAAGAGGATGAAGAGCCACCAGAAAAAGCTCCAGTCGGTAATGTTCCTGATCTTCTTACAACTGGAAGGATCTTCGAATGGGCTGGAATTACTTTTGGAGATAAGGAATATTTCTTACTTCAAAAATCCTTAGCGAAGCTTGCAGAAAAATCGGGTGCCACAAAAGTTAGGTTTTGGGGTAAGATCTATGGTACACAGAAGGATTATTACATTGCAGAAGGCGTTAAAGATGCTGAAGAAGAGGGAGAAGGCGACGAAGAAAAACCTACTGATTTCGAACCAAGAGGCACTGGAGTCAACCAATTCTGTTACTGGGTTGCTCATGATGCTCTTAGTGAATGGACTCAGCTACCAGATTTATTCCCAAAATACTTGAAGACTTCAAGAAACATAAAAATTTCTTTCGCAGGTGATTTAGAGAAGGACATTATTACAAATCCCTTCTTTCATGGAAAAGAGAAGCATTATCTCAGGGCTCAGATTGCTAGGATCCATCATGGAACGACTCTTGTCCCAAAAGGATTGTATAGACCTACTGAGGACGATGCGAAGGAAATAGAGGCAGATGAGCCAGAGGATGAAGAGAATAAATACACTCCTCAAACTGAGAACCAAATCTTGCTCTCAAACTGGAGTCACTATCCAAAGGGTATCCTGCAAAATTGCAGGACCCAACATATGGATCCTGAGCCTGAGGAAGATGATGAAAGGGATCCTGAGGATATTCTCAAAGAAATTGAAGCCAAAGATCCCTATGATGCTAGACTCAAGTTTATCTCAGAGGATAATGAAATAGAACATGGATTCCCAGCTTGGAACATCAGACTTCATGGAGACAAAGAAAGACAGAAGACTATCAGAGGTAAAACAGAACATAATGGAACTGTTGTACTAAAATCAAACAGATGGCCTGGATCAGTTACTGTATGGAAAGGAGTGAACTGGCACCAAATTTATGTAGGTAATGGTCACAAATACGAAATGAAAAATTATTTCCCAACACATCCTCCCTACATCCCAGTTGATCCAGAAGATATTGAGGAACATCCAGAGCCTAACCCACAAGAAGTGGAAGCCCCTCCTGCTAAAGAAGGCGAGGGAGAAGGAGAAGGTGATAAGGAAGGAGAAAATAATGATGAATAATAATTTTCTAAAAATAAGAGAACTCAATTATGACTTATCAATAAGGGGTTTTGGGGTTTTGGGGTTTTGGGG